GGGGGGGGGGGGGGGGGGGGGGGGGGGGGGGGGGGGGGGGGGGGTGATGTAAGAACACGATAAAGTCACACCCTTGTTCCATCGCAACCAAGCCAACCAAGACAACAAGAGAACAGACAGCAAGCAGCCGCTATTCGATGAGAAATACTACCAACCAGAGAGAGAGCGAAAGGAGAGAGGAAGGCCTTTACACCCAGACAGGGATCCGATCCGAGGCTTGCCCCGGTGCCTTGAAAAATACCGCTGTGCCGCCTCTACTTCCGCCTAACAGCGACGACAACGACGACAACGACCATGACGAAAACAACAAATTCTCGCCTGTCCATCACGCCTTCGTGGCTGCCGCGACACCACGGTGGCCGGGTCGTCGTCGAGACCGCCGCCGTCGCCTCTCCCCTGTCCTCCGGGGCTTGCCGGAGAGTTGTTGGACGTGTCTACCATCATGTCCATGTCTTCCGCCGGGTGTTGATCATCATCCAGGGGGGACGGGATGGCCGCCTGATGGGTATCGCAGTCGGTAGGTTCGGTTCACCCATGGGGTCAAGTACGCAGAGAGAGAGAGAGAGAGAGAGAGAGAGAGAAAGCCTTCAGCAAGAGCGTTGTATGTCAAACAGGAGTTGTGACAAGCTAACATTCTCACCCCTACCGATACGGGTCCTTAGGGTGTGTTGGGAATGACGAAGGTGTGTGATGCTTAACTTTCGCATGCAATTGCAACATCAAGTGAAGCTCGTCCTTGTTGTTTCGTGCGGTCTTGATGCATAAAGACACTGTCACCATCTCTTCACCGAGGACCTCTCTACCGCATGCAGAACTCCCGCTATCACACACACACAAAAAAAAAATGCACTTCACTTCACAGAATCACACAATACAACAGAAAAAGGTGAGAACACCCTTTCTCTGTTACGAGCATGGGTCCCTCAAGTGGCAAATAACCGTTCTCAGCAACGGAGGTATTTCGCTCTTCTTGTAATGCGGCGAGGAAGTGCCAAGCGTAGCCAAGAGTCTTCGGCTTAGCTAGCTCAAGAAAGGTGAAAGGTGAGATAGTGAGGAGCGCGGGGCGCATTCGTCGCCATTTCCCTATCTCCGACAGTCACACGAATAGTCACGGTATTCTGTGAATCTTTCCTGGCAAACGTCTTCGGACGGTAGAACATTGTTCATGTAGTCCGACGATCTTTGCTGGTCGCATGTACATCAATACCTCTAGAAAGATACAAATATACTGGTCTCCACTAAAAGAGAGACAAGTAAAATAGAACCAAATCTCACCGGGGTTTCGGTGCTGGCATCATCGTTGTCGAAGTTTCCATCGTCCTCGTTGCCGTCGTCCATATCCATCGCGCTTTCGCTCTCCATCAGCACCACCGGCGCGCGGTTCGCATCGTGGTGTGGCAGCTGCGCACACCGGCCACAAGATTAGACAAACGGAAGGGGGAGAAAAAACTCTTAGCGACGTGCCATCCACGGAACAAAACAACGTGTACTTCTACCAAAGTGTTGCCGGTGAAGCTCTCTTGCCCTACTCATCTAGCCGGCGCGAAAAAAAAACACTCCTTCCAGACGTTATATTACGTGCCGCTGCAGCCTATTAAGGGATGCAGAACACGAACTTTGATGTTGACAATTTTTGAAAACAAATGCAAGAGCACCAGAAATGGTGCACGAGACACACAAGACCAGTCGGAAGGCATGGCGAAAAACACAAATCGTTGATTC